AGTATCGATTACAACAATATAAAAATATTTTCTTCTTATACACGACAATACAAAACATAATTTATAAAGTTCTTTGTTTGATATTTCTGTAACGCAATCTAATTTGTCCATCATATCTTTGATTGATTTATATTTTCTTTTCTCTGGATTATTTAAAATATCTTTACATGTCTTTTTTATTTCTTTCAAGTTCATTTTTTTTCGATAGAAAAATAAAATAAAATAAAATGAAAGCAAATTACAAATATATAACAAATTAAACAATGTATTCCGCGTATTATCCAAGGTAGCAAGATTTGTATAAATTTTACAACCAATACAATCAATAAAATTAAAGGAAACGTGCAAATCCGGAATAACAACTTTAAAAAACTTCCAATTAAATTTAAAAAATTACAAAATTTCTTCGTTATATACTTCCACATTGAATTTAAATTATCTTTACATGTCTTTTTTATTTCTTTCAAGTTCATTCTTTTTTACTTTTGTTTATGTTTATCGATAGCATCGGCTGCAAAACATAACCAAACTGCTAAAAAATAACAAATTAAACAGTATATTCCTCCTATGATCCAAGGTATCAAGATTTGTATAAATGCCGCAACAAATACAATCAATAAAAATAAAGGAATCTTGCAAATCTCTAATAACAACTTTAAAAAACTTCCAATTGAATTTAAAAAATTACAAAATTTATTCATTATATACTTCCACTGTAGTGACAAATTTTAGGAGGTTTTTCAGGTTCTGGCTTATACGGTTTTACAACAGCTACTGGCGGTGTCGAGTTTTGAAATTGTTGTAATGGTTTGTTTTTTGAATCCATTTAATAAACAAAAAGCGCTTCATTAAACAGAATAATATTTTTTAACTATCGAGAATCGGACAATCTGACTGAGCGACTCGAGAATCGAGAGAAACGGCTGGCTGACCGATCGGATCTAAACACGGTAAAGTGGTTGATCATCACACGTGTCTTTCTTAACTCTTTTAAAACCACTTTTACTTTCTCTTTTAAAATCACTTTTTTACATGATACAATCTTTCTAGCTCTCGCACAGCTAACTTTACCACTTTCTCGCGTAATATGCCGTTATAATGCATGACGTAAATATTAGTACATATTTCTTCTCTGGAATAAAAATTATATCATTGTTTTAGCACGTCTTCATAATGATTTTTTTATTACATTTTTAATTATTAAAAATTCTTTAAGTATTTTCTTTCTTTTTTTTTTTTTTTGCAACGTTATCACCTTATTCAACATGACTGCTGATGCGATTGTTTTCGCTTTTTTTTTTGTAATTTATTTCGCCATTAAAAATTGTTTACGTTGCATATACATATAACGAATTAATAACTAGAGCAAAAGAAGGAGGCACAGTTGCCTTACTGCCGAGACCCATACACAAAAAAAAAGTTCTACATAACCGTAACATACAAATATATATAAAAACAATAATCGGAATTAAAACAGAAAATAACTAAGAAAATATAGAAACTCAAAATAGCAAATAATTAAGAAGAGTTGAAATGCTTACAACCGCTAAAATGTTTAAGACTCTCTTAAACAAAAATTTTCGAAGAAAAAAATAATAATATAAAGTTTCATAATTAACATAATTACAAGAAACATCTAAAATCGGATAAATTAAGATCCCTGAATATATATCTGAAATAATCTTTTTGATTCAATTTTAAATTGTTCTAATGTAGTCTTTTATTTTGGTTGACAATCTATGGAAATTTTTTCCACAGATAAGGTCCCCCGTATTTAATTAAATAGGAGGTTAATTTTTTTATTTTTTATTTTTTTATTAAGTTGATTAAGGTGCCCCAAGAAGTCCTTACCGTCTTATCACAGAGCACCGCGGAAGAGCATTTAATAGGAAGTTCACGCCTCCTTCCTAACCGATGTCGCAAAACTTGCCCAGAGGTGGGGTTTGAACCACGGATCTTACGTGTCTGAAGCAAGTGCGCTACCACTGCGCCACGGCAGCTTGGCAATTTTAAAATATATTTGAGAAGAAGAAGTCGTGCGCCGTGCGAGAAGAAGCAATTTTAAATTATATTTGAGAAGAAGAAGCCGTGCGCCACGACTGCACGGCAAATTTAAATTATATTTGAGAAGAACAAAGTTGTTATCTGAAAATTTTGTCAAATATTTATGATTAATTTTGTTAAAATAAGTTTGAAAAATTTTGGGTGAAGATTTTTCAAACTTATTTTAATAAAATTTTTGTTACCCATTTTTGTTTTAAACATAAAAAATAAAACTTGGTGTCAATTGAGTTTCTACACATTTAAAGCGCCGAGCGCACGTAAAAGTGGTTCGCAAGGAGTATTTCAGTTAGCTCTAAACACTATTCTGCATGCATGTTTTTTTTTGTTTCAGATTTTCTTAAGTTTTGTATAGCCAGTACTAGCTCACACAATATTACAGTGAGACAAATAACTAAATAATAGCAAAATACAATTTTTTTAGAGATGCTACATTGAGAAAAGGCTTAGCCTTAAATACAATTGTATATTTATAGAAATAAGAATGGTCCTAAAATTAGGTCCTAAAAGAAGAACCCCGCAAGTTATGGAATATGGAATTGTGTTATTTTGATCATAATATAAAAATTGCTTTCGGTTTGTCAGATACCCTTTGAACCAAAGTAAGTTTTTATTTTTCACTCCGTATTTTTTCAAGTTTTTTTTAATAGTAAATTGTGATTTACGATATCAAAAGCTTTTGACAGATCAATGAAAACTCCTAATGTAAAACAGTCATAATAAAAGGCGTTAGATATTTGATTTTTTTTTTTAAACCAAATTACTTGCAATATAACATTTCGTTCTCAGTTAAATAATTATATAGATATACAGTTAGATAATGATATAGGTCTGTTTAAAATATTTGATTTATCTCCAGATTTAAAAACTGGTATATTGGAACTACATTCCATACTTTTTTAGTGTTTCCGTTGGTTTTTTTAAAATAACTGAACATAATAGAGCTTTTTATAAGTACTTTTTGACACTTGACGTCAGAGTGACTTAATGGATACCAAAGGCAGGATCCGTAAAATGTGTTGTAGAAACTAGATATGTCAAATTTATTAACTCTATTTGTTAACATGTTCATGTAGCAACTTTCAATGTCAACAAAGTAAATAAGCAACATTTCTATTCAAAAAAGAAAGTAACCTACAATTAATTTTTCACAAAAAAAATTTTATGTCTAAAATTCTATATGTGAGAATGATAATAGTGGCTTTAAGTAAGTCTCCCTTTTTATCTTTAAATAGTTCAAAGTATATAATTATATAAAATAAAACCACGTAAAAATTATTAAAAGTAATTTAAGAACTTGAATTACAACATTGAAAACGTTGTATTTCAAGTCATGGCCTACTATAATTACATGGCCTACTCTTATTATAGTATGCCATGTTGGGGCACCTAAGAAAATATACATATATATATTTGATAATGAACTGTGTCAAGTATTTAAATTTTATCCCATATTAAAGTTTTGTTTGTAGATTTCAAACCAACTGGAGTGTTGAAATTTGTATTAGTTTCTTAAAAAAATATATTTTATAACTTTGTAAACCTTACATAGCTTCATATACTTAAGAACTCATATTTTGAACTGTTTTTTATTTTCATTTTATCATTGTCCGAGCACATTATATCATTTTTAAACATCATTGGAATGCGATCTGATTCGCTGATTTTGAAAGAGAGGCAGATGCGCATTTGATGAAAAATATAGTTGAAATCAAAAAAGGGGATTTTTAAAATAAATATCAATAAAATAAGTTTATCAATAGTAATGTATATCAATAGTACACACGACTTTACTTTATTGACTATTGGCAATGTCTTGTGCTCTCATCAACTTGTGCTCTCATCAACACAGGAAATTCATTTTATTTTATCACAATATATTTGTACAAGAAAATCTTATCTGTTGTTAATTTAAATAAACAGAAAAAAAGTATGAGTTTAATTAAATTAAAAAAGATCTATAAATGTGTTTCTCGAAAAATATATTGTCCTTGGTCTTTAAAGCATACTCAAAAAAAGGTTTATACGCAGCTGTACTAGACTACTGGAGAAGTACTTTATGCATACAAGCGAAGAAATTTATTTTTACTGATTATATAGTAGCAGATAAGAGTTTTTTTAGAAATAAAATTTGTATTGGTTGCAAAATTAGCTTACACGTTTCATGTGAATTTATGAACTCTGAAAAAATGTTGTTTTCATATTTTGTTTCAACCTTAATTTTGAGAAGGCTGATATGAATTTTTTTACATAACTTTAAAAAAACATCATTTTTTAATTAAACACTTTGTAAAGATTTAGAAAAAGTTTGGCAGGGTTCATTAACTTATATAAAAAAAATGAAAATTGAACATTAAAACTCTATTTGAAAATTTAACAAAATAAGTGAAATTTATATGTTTGTCTACAAAATAGTATTTTTTGACAGTTACGTATAAACACTGGCATTACAAGCAAGAAAAACTATTGAAGTAAAAAAAGTGGATTATGGAATAAAAAAAATTATTGTTGCACTTTTTTGTATTTTTATAATTGAAAAAAAAAAGATTTTAAAAAACAAAATGAAATATTAAAAATTAAACAAATTAATGGAAAAAGAGGATTGAAGAAAAGAAAATTAATAGAAAAAGGAACAAGAGTCTTCTCTTGTTCATTGTTCATTTTTCTAATTTTGTCTAATTTTTAAGAATTAATTTGTTTAAGAATTATTTTGTTTAATTTAATAAGAAAAAAGTGTCAGTTCTCATGCTATGTATTTTTGGCTTTAGTTAGTAGACTCAGGGTTTTGCCGCCCGGGTCAAAAGTAGAGAACGGCACCCATAATTAAAAACAAAAATTGCAAAATTAAAAGTTTTGTGAACGCAGCAATTATTTATTTTTGATACAATGTATTTCTGCTTTCCTATTAACTCTCTGGATTGAGAAGTTCAAAACTGACGAATCAAAACGTTAGTTTTAAAACTAATAGAACAAAAAAATCAACAAAACCTTTTAGAAAGTTTAATAAGGCGCTTAAAAATGAACTTTTTTAGCTTTTCTGGCCGCCCAAATATTGATGACATCATTGTAGTTCACCTTTTTAGCCAAATCTTCTTCAATCGAAATAATCAAGTATCATTAGCGCCATCCTGGCCCATGGTCGAACGGAGAAAATGATTTTTCACACTCAGCAACTGATTCACGAATAGTGTTAAAAATCCGGAGCATGATGCATGGAAAACAGCGTTCAAGCTTCTTCTCAAAATTTTGATTGAGTGCATTGGATTTCCTTACTTGAAAATTGTTTTTGCGGTCATTTTTAAAATGACAAACTTCTTCAATGAGATTGGAGATTGTCTTTGTTCACATCACTCGTATAAAGCCGTGCAAGTTTTCAAGCTTTTAAACGGGAAGATCATCATTATTGAACCAGACGATTGAGAACATTTTGGCAATCTTTCTGCTCGCATTAAATCTTTTATCAGTTTGCTGGATTAGATCTAAATTAACATTAAAAACGTTTGCTTTGAAGTCTTTTGTTTGGCTATCGTGGACTGTGTTTGATGCCTTATTGTCAAAGCGCTTAGGTTAAGCTTTCTTTTAATAACGAGTTTATTTTTCAACCCTAGCGGTCCAGCTACAGCCTCATGGAAAATTTGTAACCAAGAGCCCCTAATCCGTTTAAGATCTTCCAGCAGTTGTCCAATCAAACATAGTTCCTCATCAGTGGTAATGGCTTCAGATTGTAGAAAACTACTAACATCGTTAACAACAGTAGGGTTTTGTACTAAAACGTAACTAGCAATAAAAATTCAAAAATTTGGTAATCATTTTTTTAAGTTTCTTGTCTGGCTGCTCACTAGTCAGATCCAGATTTTCCATAGAATGTTTAAGAGCTGCTAATATTTCTCTTGGCTTCTTAGTAAGTGGTTTGATCAACTCCGTACGAGAGCTCCATCCTATCATAGAAAGTCTATGCAGTAAAATGCTTGTCGCTTTAGTGATGATCTTCCTGCGGTCCCACTCAAAAATACGTACCAAGATTCAACATTCCCAAAGAACTCATCATTAACTACATCAATTTCTTTATTCATCTCGAAAGCTTCATTACACAAGAATCGTTTTTTAATTTTTCAGCAATTAGTTTAACCTTTCAAAGTTTCATAGAATAAAAAAGGAATAATAAAGTTTTTCTGCTCAGTGTGAAATATATTCTTTATTCATCTCAAAAGCTTCATTACACAAGAGTCTTTTTTTAATTCTCCAGCAATTAGTTTAACTTTTCAAAGTTTCATAGAATAAAAAAGGAATAATAAAGTTTTTCTGCTCAGTGTGAGATATATTAGGGGTACCATCAACTATGATTGTGAAGTAGATACCATCCTGGATTTCTTTAACAGCTACTCTTCGGATATATGACACCACCATATTCTCTGATGAACTCATGAAAAGTAAGAGCACTCATTTTAGAGTCCTCCTGGAGATAGCGTCTCATATTTTCCAATGGAATGTAAGGATGGGGTTGTGGCAATCTATAAACTTCATACCAGCCAGAAAGTTTCCATTTTCTTTCCCATTCACGTGCATTGTTTTACCTGCACACATAGTTGTATACAATAATTATAATTGAATTATACAATAGTTATATAAAAAAAATTAAAATTGATACTGAGAGAACTTTATTATGAGTTACCAAGAAAAGCTAAATTCTTAAAGCCAAGAAAAGAGTAACATTCAAAATTCCACAAAAAATTGCCCTTCATTTTTTTGTCTCTGAATTCTAATTCAACAACTATTAACTCCTATTTTTTTTGTAAAATATAGTTTATAATTAATTATAATACTTGAATTTAAAATAAAAATGATTTTTTTCATGTGCGTTTTTATTCCGAATACTAAAGTTTCCATCTTAAATATAAAAAAAAAGCAGATTTCACATTGTCAATTATTAAAATGTTTTCTGTAGATCCTCTTCAAGCTTGGCGCCCGGGTCAAGTTTCCCCTGGTTTCCCCCAGTTTCCCCCATTGCCCCTCCCTCTCGAAAACTCTGATTAGCCTTGATGAATTAGTTAATTGTAAAAAGTATATATTTTATATATAAATATTTTTTTTAATAAAATTTTCTATGAGGTATTCATAAAATTTCAAAAAAAAAAACTTGATTTTATAACAAAAAATCATTATGTATTGTAAAAATATTATAATGTAAAAAATGTTATATTCCATGGATTAGCAACCTTAATTAAAAATACAATAATGTAAAAAGCATAAATTTATCAAAGTTTTTTTCTGTAATTTATTATTATTTGCTATCAATTGTTGTTATGTTTTTTTTTATTATTATTTACTATCAATTGTCGTTATGGTTTTTTTTTATAAATTATAGAATCCAATAACCAGTAATTTATGTAACTAACATTTGTTTTGTATAATAAATAAACTCTTGAAATAGTACATTCAAGGTGAATTTGTATGTGTGCATTTTTATTTTTCTACCTCTTTACCCTTAGTTCTCCATTAAGTTGTGGTACGTTGTAAGTTTAATTATTATTATTATTATTATTATTATTATTATTATTATTATTATTATTATTATTATTATAAACGCAACCGTAAAATAAACATACAACATATACATACAGAAAGCAGGGAAAACACCTAACTATAAACAACAAGTTTTATAAATGTTCGTTCTGAATTCTATCTCCAATTAATGATCTAGTCTAACTTTAAAAAAAAGTACAGTTGAGTAGAAATTTATTTGCTCGGGTAGTTCGTTCCAGTATTTTGCTGGTCTATCATATTGTTATTTGTGTCTAGGAAGGGTAATGCCTATTAGCCCCATCATGTACTTGCATTCTGACTTTTTTATTAAAATTCTTTTTTTTACTATTTGAATACAGAATATATTGTTTTTTTTAAAAGTCTGAAACATTTTCATAGCTTAAGATGCTGTTTAAAAATTTTTTTAAAGATTTAGTTAAGGTTGCATCGAAGGCGCAGAAACTCGAGTGATGGTAGATTTAGTCTTTTTAGTATTTCGTAGTATTGAACACTTTTCAGATTACGTGTTATTCCCAAATGTATGTCAGCCGTTATTGTTGAGTAGAACACGTATTAGAAATAAAGTAGAGCATGTTTTAGACACGTAGATTATTGGACACATACTACGCGTCTAAAACGTGTTTTTATTGCATGTATATACAAACGCGCAATTGCATTGGCTCTAAAAATAATAACAAAAATTAATACTTGAAAATTTTATTAAATTAACTTGAACAGTGTTTAATATGCACATCTATATTATAGTTTCTATATTATAATAAAAATATATGCTATGTTCATTTAATAATAACAAAACTGCACCAAAGTCCTCTAATAGTATACTAATGTATAATATTAGAGGATTTATTTACCTTTTATTATATAAATGTTTCTCTTAGTCAATACAAAAAACTAAAGAAAAAGTTACAAAAAAAGTGGCGGGTGTACTTGTTGTGTACCAAACAAAAAAGTGGCGGGTGTACTTGTTGTGTACCAAACTGTTTTAATAACTCTGAGCGTAATAAAAACTTATCTTTTTATATAATAACCAAGGAAAAAGCTTTAAGAAATTTTTGGTTGAACAAAATTAGCAGAAAAGGCTTTAATCTTTCGTCGTCACTCAGAGTTTGTAAAGCACATTTTCAAGGTAACAAAAAAACTAATATATGAACAATATGCTAACAATTGTTCCAAAAACTGTTAAACTGACTATCTGTTTATCAAGGACAACCCAAAATAGTCTTGGTGTGATACCTAAAACAACACTAGAATCTTATAGAGAAGAACTGCTAACTCCTATTTTGAGCAATGACGAAAAGTTAAAACAAAAAAATGTTTTTTTTTTAATATCCTCAAAATTGAGGATATTAAAAAAGAAAAACACAGTTAAAAAAAAAAATACAAAAACAAACAATATACAAACTTAACAAAAAAATACTTCAATTACAATTTACACTTGATAGGTTTAAGCATGCAAAATACAATTCAAATTTTTTACAGGTTTTGAAAATTATGACATTTTTAAAGTAGTCAGAAGCAGAAATCTATTCACTCAATTATTGAGGCTCAAAATCTTTAATCTCTGATGAACTTTATCTAAGACAAGAGGAAGGGCACATATATTGAATGTCGAAGAAGAATATTTTATGGTGCTAATTTGACTGCGATGCGCTTTTCCTATAGAGGATTTAGCAATATGATTTGATATCTCATCAAGTACTACCAGTAAGATATTAATTATTTGGTATAATTTTTTGCATATAAAATTTAGATCAATTCCAATATGGGCAACAAAAAAACTAGTTAATAAAACAATGCCTAGCTGTTTTAAAGATTTATACCCTAATACTCGTGTTATTATAGACTGTACTGAAATTTTTTCAGTAAGACCAACTAGCTATCGCAGTCAATCAGCAATGTTCTCAAACTATGAATATCAGCAAAAATGGTATTGCACCAAGTGATGCCATAATATTTGTTTCAGATTTGTATGCAGGAAGATTAAGTAATTAACAAAACACTGTCAGGGCAAATCTGCGATTTATTTCTCCTTTGGCGAAATTTTTGTGTGTAATTTTTTGCCCTCCTTTTTCCCCTTAACCATTTTTACAACCCCATTGCTTTTCATGCACAAATACTGTCAAAAACTGAGGTATGAACCCGTAAAAAGAGGTCCACAAAAGACGCTTTTAAACGTCTTACGGACGTTTAAATTTTACCCGTTCATTCAGCGTTTAACTTTATTCAGCTTATTCTCATACCAACTCCATTTCACATATCAACTCCATTTCTAGCAACTATAAAAAGTAGAGTATTGATACAAGAAATGAAGCCCCAGTGTTGATACAAGAAATGAAGTCCCAGTGTTGACACAAGAAATAAAGTCCCAGTGTTGACACAAGAAATGAAGTCCCAGTGTTGACACAAGAAATAAAGTCCCAGTGTTGAGACAAATCATTACAAAAAAATAAAAAGAGTAGTGTTTTTGACAATATTAATATATAAACACAATCTAGCAAAAACATTATTTTTTGATTCGTTTTGATATGTCGCTAAATGTCCACTTGATGTTGCTTGCATCATAACTAAATTGCCACATACAATAGTTACTAAAGAAATAATATCTCAAAATTGACTGTCAATCATAGAGCATGTTTTAGAAAACCAAAAATAAACAATTAAACTCAAAAGCAAAGTAAAGAAACTTTGCTTTTGAATTTGATTTCCATAAAGTCAACAAATTAAAAGACAACCACAATAAAATTTTATATTAAAATAATTGTTATTCGAAAGTCATGTATATAAAACTAAATTTAAATAAAAAAGCATCAGCAAATAAATTTGCAAATAAAGAATAGGAAAAAATGAGCAATGTATTACTGTTTCACATTCTGCTATTTACTATTTAATAAACTTGTAACTGATTCTGAAATGTTTGGCTTAATGACATTTTTTGAAGCGTTTTCATAGGGCTCGGCGATAAGGTTAATTTATACTTTTTTCTTGCTCCAGCCAATTATTTTATTATATTATGTAACATTGTAAATCTTATTTAAACGGCAAACTAAATAATCTATAGTCAACTTGGCTCAGCTACAATTTTGAATAAATTTTTGAAGCGCCGCATTTTGACTTCTTGTAACCTCCATATCTTGTTTAAATATTTTTTCTCTTTTGCATGAAAAACAAAATGTATGTAGCAAATAAAAAGATAGAAAAAAAAAAACAAACCGAACTGACTGTAGCAACTGCTTCACTTGCTACAGCCGAGATCCGCTCCTAGGAGGAGATTTTATTGAAACACTCTTTTGAACGATATGTCGCTCTAACATAATTTTAAAAACAAAAATAAGTATTTGTGCTGTATTTTTTTGTCGGAAAAACGCAGACAGGCTTATTACATATGAAAACGCATTTAAAATGCCTTATGTAACAATAATAAGTAAATTTACTTCAATTTTTCCTAATGAATTTCCAAAAACTTGGCTACGTATGCAAACCGTAATGAATATACGTTTTAAAAAAAATATATTAATGTATATTTATTTTTTCTCTATAAAAATCAGTATTTTCACTTTTGTTTAAAATGATATTTATTTTATTTCAAATCTAAATATGTGTTATTATTTTTTAAAAGATCACACAACATTTTTATTAATTATTATAAGCAGCTCCAGATGTTTTGCAGTCTTTTTATAAGTTTTACACAAAAATTATCAATTAAAATTTGTGCCTATCGGAAAAACGAAGAAAAGCGTAGTTTCAATTTTTTGATATGAAGAAATTGCTAGACGATACAAAGAAGAGCTAGTTTCTACATTTTATTTGGTTTATAAGAATATCGGGACAAATCTGAAATCACTATTGGGTGTGAAAATTGCTCCGCTCAAAACAAAAATTGGAGTTTAGTGATATTTTTGATATATATGTTTAATGGCAATGAAATCGAAACTATAAAATCAAATTAAAATATTTGGAAAGTGGTCACACATTTACGAGTTGTGACTCATTTCTAGGGTTGAAAATTTCCAGGAAATCTTGCTCTAAATTTCCAGAAATTTTCAAAAATTTTTTATAGCAATAAATTTCATAGTTATTGTATCGTTTATAAAATAAATTTCTTTGTTTCAAAAATATGCGTTTTATTACCGTATTTTTTGGATACCGTAAACCGGGGTTACTTTGAACGTTTTTTTTTTTAGATATTTTTACTTGCTCTACCTTCACTATTAACAATATTTAAAATTTAACAAAATAAATATAGGGG